TAGGGTTCACAAACGTATTCTTATGTTTATTAATGCATGGACTTTTTTCTTTGACAAACAAAAATCAATAAATACATTTGTAACACTGACAAAAAATACAATTATGGTACAAGCAATAAATAGACAAAATCTTCGGCTTTGCTTGAAATTACAACATAAACACTGAAAAAAAAGTGTTTCGCAATTTGTCAGGAATGTTTACGTCAGCATTTACTAACTAAATGCAAATAAAACCTTTAAATGTATTAAACAAGAAGTTGTAAACAAAGAAAGCTAAAATAATTTTACTATAGACTTAAACCACTGAACGGAATGTTGAATGGCATTAAAAAAATAGACCAATCAGTTTGGACCATTTATGAACAAAATGAAGAAAACTGTTTTTTTAGCAAGAGAACTGAAACAAACCAGAATACAGAAAAATTCAGTGACTGCTTATTCATGTTGATGTAGCACTGTTAGATTAACTGACAGCATGTAGAATGATGGCCACAACCTTGTTGCAGACAACTAGCCAGCATGTGATTCCAACACCACCTGAGATGAAGCAACAAAAACACTTGAAACTCCACGTAATTATATTTATTCTTTTAATCAATTTATCCCACCATCCAAAAGTGGCCATCGAATACAACTGGTGACTTGGACATACCTGCAATTCCAGAAGGAAAGGCTACTAGTCTCTCTAGTGGAGCAATCCATTTACTGGGTACCACTGTGACCGGCTCTGCATAATACTTTAATATGAGCGAGATCATGAGGGCCGCCTAACGACAGACAGCAGAAAACAGAACAAAGTGCCATTAGGAGGAGAGAAAATTAACAAATAAATGATACATACAGACAGACACATGAATCATACATCATATCAATACGCAAATTAAAAATGTTCCTCAATCCTCACCCACCTGAAGAATGTAAAATACAATATTTACAATCCATTTCATTTTTGCCTGTTGTGCCGTTCTTGATTTGACTGTACAAAAAAAAAAAAGACAGGCATAAGAATATAACCAAAATTTGTCTAGTCATGGTTTCTTTAAAACAGGCTTCTTCAAATCCAGCCCTGCAGAGAGTAGCTCAAAACCTGTACCTGTAATTTTCTAGTAGCTCTGAAGACCTTCATTATCTTGCTCAGGTGTTTGATTAATGATGGAGCTAAACTCTGCAGGGCAGTGACACTCCAGGGCCGGATTTGAGGAACCCTGCTTTAAAACAAATCATTTATTCCCGTTCCTGTAGAGCTACCTTCCAGCGGATTTCAGTTCCAACCCTGCTCCAACACAGCGCTCTGTTATTATCAAGTGCTCCTGAAGATCTTCATCAGCTGCTCCAGGTGTGTTTGATCAGGGCTGGAGCTGAACTTTGCAGAAAGATCGCTCTCCAGGAACCAAGACTGGACACGCCTGATGTACATGAATGAGATTAGAGATGATAAAGACGAGAGCATGATTTTCATAATTGAATGTAAATTTTCTTCTGTTCCTTAGTGCACAAGAGCATAAACTACCTTTCAGGTACATTTTCATCCTTTTGGAAGTCAACCGTGTGAACCACTCCATGTTTATTATAGATCACTCATGGATCAAAATCATTCTAGACTATGGATTCCATATGGGTTAGATCACCCAAAAATGAAAATTCTGTCATCTTTTACTCACCCTCGTGTCACTCCAAACCCGTAAGACTTTTGTTCATCTTCAAAACACAAATGAAGATATCTCTGGGAGATTTCTGTCCCTTCAATGAAAATCCATCACACCAAAATGTTGATGCCTCAAAAAGGTCATAAGGATATTGTAAAATAAATCCATATGAATTAGCGGTTTAATCTAAGTCGCTTTACATGTTGAACTCGAACACATATGGGAAACAGAAACTCAAATGTGCTTGTTTAACGTGAGAACAAAGCGCACTTGTTTCTCAGGTGCCATGCAAGCACTCTGAGCTTTGAGTTATACACACTGCATGTTCTAGAGGGAAGTGTGCCACTGTGCTCTTTCACATGAGCAGGTCAGTATCTGCCAGTGTTTGCAGTAAACCAATTCCATCTCCACATCTGTTTTTTTTTTTTTTTTTTTTACAGTTGTAATGCCAAAAAATTAGATTCTATTATCTATATTAATTACTTCAAAACATTAAAAAATATTTTACATTTGAATATTGCAATAGTAATATTTAACAACAATAATAGTGCAGCCCTACAAACAAGCACAGCAAACCTATAATTTTTTAAATCACAAAACACAAAAAAACAATTTGATTTTTTTCACTATAAATCATGCAGCTCTAGTATAAAGTGGTCACGTCTCTTCAGAAGACTAAACATGATTATTTTTTGTTTGAATTCTTATGTACAACAGCTATGCTCATTATTCTCCATTTGCTTTTGTGTTTTTCCCATAGCATACCCATCCAAACATAACTAGAGAACTTCAGTTTGGATCCAGCCTTACGAAGATTTTAAATGACGCCCGTGAAGAGTTGATGCCAACCCCCACGAGGACCTCAGATGACGCCAACTCTGAATCATCATAAAAACGGCCAAATTGCCCTTATATTGTAATCATTACGATCACATCAAGTATTCGTTGCTTTAATATGTTCACTGTTTCTGCTTAAAAGAATATGTGACATTAACTAACGACTTGGTTTGTCTAATCTTAGAACTGTACATTTATTCCATATGGACATTACGTCTCTGAAAACACTTCTCTTAATTGCAGAAACATTATTTTTACGTGATCCAGCCTTGAAACGGTATGTGTTGTGAAAAGTGCTATACAAATAAATGTGAAATGGATTGCACTGAAACCACTCGATTATCGATATGGATTATTTTTACAATTTTAACGGATGGACAGAAATCTCTCTCTTCATTTGTGTTTCTAAAAGACGAACCAAAGTCTTATGTGTTTGGAACGACATGAGGGTGAGTAAATGATGACAGAATTTTCATTTTTGGGTGAACTAGCCCTTTAACAAGTTATATCTATGCTATTCTCCAATAACATGAAGGACAGCAACAGGCAGCAGCCAAGCCATTTGTCTTCCTTCATGAACGCTTCATTGCGTTATCTGAAACCCACCTGCCATTTTCCACACTTGGCCTGAGACTTTGAATTCTCCACTGCAAAGGGAAGAAACTTTTGGTTTCTCAGTTCTTCTCGCCCCACCATAAAGTGGACAAAGGCAATTTATATGCTTCCAGTGAGGTGTGCTGGTGACTGTAAATATCTTAACACTTGGGAAGTCGTGGCCTAATGGTTAGAGAGTCGGACTCGTAACCCAAAGGTTGTGGGTTCGAGTCTAGTACCGGCAGGGATTGTAGGTGGGGGGAGTGAATGTACAGCGCTCTCTCCCACCTTCAATACCACGACTGAGGTGCCCTTGAGCAAGGCACCGAACCCCCAACTGCTCCCCGGGCGCCGCAGCATAAAATGGCTGCCCACTGCTCCGGGTGTGTGTTCACGGTGTGTGTGTGTGTGTTCACTGCTGTGTGTGTGCACTTTGGATGGGATAAATGCAGAGCACTAATTCCTAGTATGGGACACCATACTTGGCCACATGTCACGTCACTTGTTTTCAACAGAGCTATGTTGAAACATGTTGTTTTTCAACAAACAATTTGGCTTTTTTGTGGGCTTCTTTCTGTATTGTGCTGGTTAAAGCAATAGCTTGTCGCTTCATCTGCAATCTTGCTGCACATGCTTGCATTTTTTAATTTTTACCAAGTGTCTTCAGTTGATCGGTCATCTTGTTGATCTTGCGTTCCAGTCTAGCGTATCTGGCAAACTCGTCCATCATACTGACGGTGGACAGCTCCATCTTCATGTTTTGGATCTCCATCCTCATCTCCATCTCCTGATCAGCATCCTTCTGGAAGATCTTTGACAGCTATGAGAACAAACACACAAGATCTTTAATGTACATCGGCTCTTTCATTTTAAAATTGCATTACATTTTCCTCAAAGCTTTTACACTATTACCAGAATCGAAGGGTGATACACTAACAAAGGCCTATGAAGGCAAAACATTACATTTGTTAAATAAAAGTTTCTCCAATGTATCCATAGTTAGCATACTCTGAATGTCATCGTTACCATTTAGAATACCAACAATAATCCTAATCAGACATTAGCAAATTTTGGAAAAGGGGCTATGATAAAAACTGTCCGTTTTTGGACATATACGATGGTGCAAGTATGTTGGAGTACTGTGAAATGTTATTATATATAAATAAATAATCATTCAGTACCATTACACACATGGTCATATGATACCATGAAAGAAGTGCAGTTTTTTGTCGGTTTATCAAAATATTCCCAGCCCACATCAAAAGTTTGCTTTGGCACTATTAACTGTTCGCTAGTTGTGTTTACGACTTAGTTAAAACTAGACATGGTGGTAGTTTAACAGAGCAGCTTTTGTTTGCTGTGACTGCGAGAAGCTCCTGAGGAGTAACGTTAGCAGACATGCTGCATCACTGAGCATTTATGGCGTCGCATACTAATAATGTACGTTTGAAATTATATATGTGTGCTTAAGCGTCCCTAAAACTCTTTTGAATCAGTACTTACAAATGAAGAAATGGACGGCAGCAATGTTTTGATGAGGTTGCACAGAAATACAGAGCTTAGCACAAGGAACCAGTTAAACCCGGCAGCCATTTTCTTTTCATCAGCCTGATCCTCCCCCAATAATACAAACCCACTAGCGCTGCTTTTTAACCGGTTCCTCGCGTTAAATGTTTAACGTATACGTTACTTATATTATCTAAAACAACACAGTGACAGTCAAATATCCGAAAAGAGAATGTTTATAAGACAACGTTTTTTTTCTTCTTTATTAAGCGGCGTGTTTCTTTAAATACATTCAAATAATCTGAATATATAACCAATGCGAATAACACTAAATATATATATATATGCATGCTTACAATGCAGAAAGTGGCGCCTAAAGTACATACAAGCAAATCTGTGATTGACATCTCAACCTATCCACACAGGTTCTTTGCTTTGGTTTGAAATGTGGTTGCCAAGACGTTTCAGCCAATCACCGCCGAGAAGGGGCGGAGCGTAGCTCGCATCAGGTTAGTGCTATAATGAAAAGACTATAGAAAGGGGAGATCCAATCCGGTTTCAGCTAGTTTCTGTTCCGATAGAACATTAATGCTAGTTGCTTCAGTGGTTCCTAGACCCGGTTCTTACACTTTACTTATCAGCGCGTAAGCTATTTTAATTTATTTCCTTTTTGTTGTGAAAGCATACAAGCTTTAAGCAGCCATGCCTAAAAGGAGCAAAGTAAGTAGAAAAATATTGGATATTTTATTCTCTTTTATAGTATGGTTTTAATAGCATGCAATAATTAAATATGCACGTCCCTAGGACGCTTTATGTACAGTTATGTGAGTGTTGACTGCATTGGTGCGTGTGTTAATTCGTAATCTAGGGCATGTGAGCCGGTGGCATGAATCTGGCGCCTTTTTACTTCAGAGCTGTGCAATGTTCTTTTGGCTGCGTGTGGATATTTAAAGAATAGAGCATTCTCGGCTTTACTTTGACATTAAAGTCGTGTATCGAACACGCAAAGTAATGATCAGACGAAGGGGTGTAACCTCGTAACGTTTGCTCATGTTATTATTCCTCACGGAGAAGAAGCTTGTGCTTTTAACCGCGCTGTTTTAATACCTGTATAACCATATACATACGAATCAGTCGAAGTTGCGAGTTTAAAGACATTGGGGTTATTCTTAGTCCCTCGTGTAACTGTAAATACATGTATTGTTAGTTGCGTGTTGTGTACGACTCCATATGGTCCTCGAGCAGGACACACACACACTATAGTGTCATGGCTGCCTTTGCACTAAACACATTCGAAGCCTTATATCCAAATGAAATCGTTATCCCAGCAGGTTTGTTTCATAATTCGGGTTTTGCCTGCGAATCCCGCCTTAATTTTTCACTTGACCTTTGAAACGGACTTTGGAGAGTGGCTTAAGAAAGTTTTCACCGACTTTATTTGTGGATTAAAGGTATTAGCCTCCCGTTTTCACGTTTCTGTTTTATTTTCGATGCAAACCTGGTTTATGTGAACAATGTGTCGCTGTTTAATGTATTTGCTCGTCGAAAGTGAATGAATTCTGTCTGTGGAGGCGGAGCTACTGTTCCCCTCCTCCATGTGAGCTACTTAAGGACGGAAATTTTTCGGTAACATCGTTAACCAGCGACAATAAGTTAGCTAAGCTGTGCGAAGCTAATGTAAATAAATGCACTATCATCAATTGCACTATTTTGTTTTTTTATTTTTGTTTGTTTTCCCCAGTTTGCTTTTTATTTCGCGACAAAATTAACTTGTACAATAGAAATCGAGTTGTATGCATCGTCTCCCCTCCCCCATGTTCACTTCTAGATTACATAATTGCCCATAACTTGAAGGGGGTGTGGGGTACAACACCTCCCCCCTCAGACTTGATCCATGTACACACACTAACAGCTTCTGTTTCCTCTGGTACAGGCTAACAGTGACACTGAAGCAGCTGGGGTAAGTTCGAATCTATTGTTGTGTCACGCAACACGTTTTTGCATGTAATTGTGATACTTATTGCTTGTTTTGTTGCCTTCCCATCTTCTCCTCATCAAATAAACAAACAGCCCAAGAGACGGTCTGAGAGACTTCAAGGTGTAAGTTGGCTTCGCCAGTCCTTCTGAAGTCATATGCACTTTTTTGTGACACACACAGCTTACGCTGAATTCTGTTTTACAGAAACCCCAAACGCCAAAGTCTGAGCCCAAGCCAAAAGTGAAGGTAAACCGGTTATCAGTATAAGATAATAAAGGTTATCGGAAGTGGCTTAACCATGTGTTTTTCTGAAATGTCTAACAGAAGGCACCTGCAAAGGGCAAGAAGGCTAAGGAGGTAGAAAAGGCCAAACCAGAGGAGAAGAAAGAGGATGCAAAGCCAGAGACTGAGTCTGAGGAGGAAACTCCTGCGGAGAACGGAGAGACCAAAGATGAGGTAGCAAGTCATTTTATAATCACGTTAGGATAATGAATCTAACCAGGTCCTCTCTAGTAGACATTGCCTACTTATTTGGCCCCGTATCTCATTGTAGTCCAGTGCTAGAGAAAATAAATGTCAGTTAGGGATGTATCTGTGGCTGTGTCGGTTGCAAACATTTATTTATTGGTTTGGTTTTGTTACAGGGGGACAATGGAGAAGCAGGAGGCGAAGAGGAAAAGGCTGACTAGAAAGAGGGAGCTGCTAAATAACATTAAAACATTTCACAAGAGCTCCCATACCTCTTTTCTTGTACAATACAGAGGAATATTTTTATTGACTATTTTCTAAAAAGCAGGTTTTTTAATAGTTCAATATTAGAAGCTCATTTTATAGACAACGATCAAGAGAAAAGCCTCAGAAGAGGGATTCCGGGTTTTTTTTTCCCCCACTCCAGTTTTTCCTGAAGAAGAATTGCAGTCATGAAACAACTAATGACTTCCTCTTATTATTATTATTATTTGATTCTTTTTTTTTTCTGACTCTGTTTAGTTTTTAAAAAGGGAGGGGAGTGGAACAGGTTGCGACAGATAATGTAATGTGATCATGCCATTTTTAAAGATTAAAAAAAAAAGAAATTTCTCACGTTGGGAGAGTTTGCCTGAGACACTAACATTCCATAGGCAATATGAGGGGCACCTGTATTGTATGGGAAGGGGGTTCTGTAAGAAAATGCTTAGTTTTATTATTTCTGGGGGGTTGGGATTGATTGTAAGCTGTAGTCTACGAATTGAAACCTCTTTATTCAAACTGTTTTATGAATCAACAGCTTTGATTAATGATCCTGCTCACTAGTACTGGAACACTCATCGGATGTGTGATTTACATTGACTTTTGTCTTTGTGCGGTGATAGCACTGCAATAACTGTTGTATAGCTGCTGTGAAAAGGTTTTCATAATTTCTATATGCAGTATGTGATGGTACTTTTAAGAGGATGAAAAATGGAATTGTGTGTGTGTGTGTTAGCAAAGCTAATAACAGCTGTGTTAGTGTTAAACATGCAGGTCGTAGCTGACGTTATACAAAAATTACTGTAAGTTCATTCATGTGAACATGCCAACAGTAGCTATATCACTCAAAGTTTTAGGTTAAAAGTACACATGTACAGTTTCTCTTTTTTTTTTTTCATTTTTATGTAGCTGTATTGACATGCCAATAAAATGGTTGTAATTCCACCTTGATATTTTGCCGTTCTGTTTTCCTTTCTATGATTAAAAAGAACAGTAGATATAAAACAAATAAAACTCCAAATGAAAGCAATAGCTAGAAAATGAACGCTTCAATGACAATGTGTGAAATACATTAAATAAAATAATGTGCTTGACAATGTAATTATTGATGTTGCATGATCTTACTGTATTCATCTAGTTTTGTGTAACATTGGTTAGAAAACGTGTGTGTGTGTGTTATTCAAATTTGGGATCAGTAAGATTTTTTTATATTTTTAAAGCTCTAAGGCTGCATTTATTTGATCAAAAATACAGAAAAAAATGGCAATATTGTGAAATATTATTGCACTTTAAAATAATGGTTTAATATTCTTAAAAATATAATGTAGTGATGCAAAGCTGAGTTTTCATCAACCATTACTCCAGCCTTCAGTGTCACACGATCCTTCAGATATAATTCTAATATGCTGATTTATTATCAGTGTTGGAAACAGTTGTGCTACATTTGATCCATTTCTCAGGATTCTTTGATGAATAACAAGTTTAAAAGAACAGCATTTATTTACACACACACACACACACTACTTCTATGAGAATTACCAGAAGGATTTGGAATTAATTTGTATGATTTGTGAACCTCATCAAAGTTTCTCTAATAATGTTTTCTGTTATAAGAAGATTGCACATTCAGGCAATCTAAATGGGTTTTAGGGTCTACATTATTGGAAGCGTGTTATTTTAGTGTCTTAACGGTCAGGCTAAAAGATTGTGATCAATAGTCATAAACACCTCCAATCAATGGTATTGTAATCATCATGTGACCATTTCTTGGGACTATAGTTATCAACACTGCACACCATGTACTTAGATCTTATTATATTCAAACCAGCTCACATCATAATAGAATAATATACTAACAGAGTTTCACTCCAGTTTATTCAGAGTAACCACAGGTGTAGTTCATCCCAATGTCAATGGTCATAGAAAATGTGACTGATAACCAGAATGTCTCCAAATCTGAACAAGTCCGTTTTTGTTTGAATAGACATTTCACTGTTTCAAAGCAGCTCTACAGAAAATCATGTTGATGTTTGTAATATCTTAATATCTGCATGCCATATAGTCACATTTAGCAGATGGGCGATAATATATAATTTACAATTGGCACCGATATAAATAAGCAGGCAGTTGAGATTTGAGATGTAGTAAATATTTATTTGATCCCCTGCTGATTTTGTACGTTTGCCCACTTGCAAAGAAACAAAGGGTCTGTGATTTTTATGGTAGGTTTATTTTAATGTATAGAGACAGAATACCAAGCAAAAAATGTTTCTGGGTTTTTTTTGGTTGGTTATTCTGTCTCTATCCGCTAAAATAAACCTACCATCAAAATCACAGACCCTTCATTTCTTTGCAAGTGGGCAAACTTGCAAAATCAGCAGGGGATCAAATAAATATTTTCCCCACTGTATCATTTTACATAAGTGTGGATGACGTTGGACATATTTATATCCCCAACTTTATATAAAAAGCTGTTTTATAATTTAAAACCCACCAACCGTATGTTGTAACATGTTTTGCAAGAAACGTATGCTTTCTGGTGCTAACTCTTTTAAAGCACTTCTTTTATTATTATTTTTAAATGCAAAGGCATTTATACATTTTAAGTGCCTGGATACTTTTTGGGGCCACTAACTGCTTCAGTATTTAAAGGGGAAAATATAACACTTTGGGATTAAAAAAATATATATAATAATTATCACAGGATTTGTGCTGTCTGTCAGTGGACATATTTGTGTAAAGACAGTAAGTTTAGCACATTCAGCAGCATAATACTCATCACAAACCCCCACATACGTGTGATAATAAGTAGTGGTGGCGAATATTAGTTGTTTGGATGTCTTTGAATATTCAAACCGTCACGTTCACAGACAAAAGATGAACGCTTCTACTGTCGCCATTCGATGTGACGTCACGAACCAGCCGTTCGAAGAGGAACGCGGCTTTTCATTGTTTGTTATTCGAGGAACGCGTCGCGTGGAACGACACAGCAAGAAACGTTTCGATTTACATCGACGACTCGAACGCTGAATGTTTCGACTTTTAAATCTCCGCGTGACTTCTGCGTTGCTGAAGAAGACGAGGAGTTTTACCCCCTCCCCCTGTTTCCGGTGTTCAGGCGGAAGTAGCTGTGAGCTCAGGTCTGATACTTCCAATGGCGACCGAAAACTGGCCGAACAGAAAGCGGGAGCAATCGTGGAGGGGTACGAAGCGTACAGTCGACATTAAATAATTATATAATTTACCAACTACACATAAAGTTCGTCTCCAAACACCGTATTCTTTGAGCTATGGCCGATACTGCAGCCAGAAATGGGAGTATTTCACCCCTTGAATCAGGTAAGACTTAAAAAGTAATATTATAAAGAGGTACTTTTCTAGTTTCTTCGTCGTAAATCAAATAATAAACGACCTCGCGGTGTCCTTTCGCAGAGTTGTATTACTTGATATCGCGCTATTTGAGCACGGGGCCGTGTCGGAAAGCGGCCGAGGTGAGTTGACTTCAGTCCTCCAGACTTTAATAGGAGTATTGTGTTAAAAATGATGCTGGATGAGAGCACTGAACCGAGCTCATTCTCATCTGTTGCAGGCTCTTGTGTGTGAGCTGGAGGAAAATCAGGTGTGTTGCTCGATTACTTCGTCTTTATGTCCGTCTGTCAGTGTGTATGCTTCCCTCTCGGACTGAAACATGGATCTGGCAGTATACTGCTTTTCATTATCGCTTGCCTTGAACTTCTTTACATTTTGCGCTGTTGTATTTATTAAGATAACCTGGCGTCCGTCGATTTGCTTTCGACCTTATTAACCCGGCTTATTTTTTTGATAGCTCCTTCCACGTCGGTTGGATTGGGAAGGAACTGAACACCCGCGATCTTATGAAGATTTGGTAAGTGTTTTGATTTGGTTTCTGGAGCATGTGTATGGCATTTGTTTAATTCTCACACGTGTTCATTTTGTGACCGATTTAGGATCGGCTTTAAATTACAGGCATCTGATTTTTTTTTTTTTTACATTGTACAGCGTTATTATTATGAGCAGTTCTTTGGGGGCTCTGTGTTTTGACTGCTAACCTATTTAGTGCTGTATTGCAGTTAGGGTGGGGCCTCGTCGGGTTGTGGCTACGTCAGGATGTTGAACCGTCCAATCAGATTTCAGGACTCGCCGTCGGGTTTTTATTTTGCATGTGACCTGCGCTCTGATTGGCCGATAAAAGGGACTTAATTTACATAAACTCCTTGCACTCAGCCACATGAGACAGGCTTTCATTTATGTTTTCCTGAAGGGTCGCGACCGCGGTCAGTTATCTTACGGGTGTGTAAATGGTCCCGCTTTAACAAGGCAACTATTTAAAATCTGCATTTAGTTGTCTGCTTGGTTAAAAACACATTTAGAGAAAGCTAGACATCAGATAGGCTACATTCAAACAGCTACATTCAAGATGGTATTACTTGAGTATGTCGTAAAATACGTTATTACTTAATAGCAAGGCAAGGCAGACAGGTATATGTGTATTTTATATATATATATATATATATATATATATATATATATATACATACACATGCACACACACACACATTTATTCATTTATTTATTTATTTTTTAATTTTGGTAATTCATTACATAACGAAAGTAAAGGATCCTTTATTCTTTGTTAGGTTGCTGCCAACAGACATATTGCACCAGACCACCTGTTGCAAATATGCAAGCAGATTGGTCCGATTCTGGACCGAGAGGTTCCGTCTGGTGTGCCAGGAGTCTACTCTCTACTCGGGGCCGGGAAACACTCTTTACTGCGAACGTCTAAAGGTGAGATAAGGCTGGAGCTTTCAACCCCTTCTGCCTTGGTGTGTTTGTCAGCTATCCTAGTGTAAATGTCACTACTGTCTGCCTTCTCTCAACATCTCTAGACTGCGGCAATAGCAGATGGAAAGCCTCCACGTTTGCGGCCCTTCATAGAGGGAGACCACCTGAGAGGCCTTTAAGCTGCAGGGATGCCAATATTGGTGAGTACCTTCCGTTTGCTGTGTCAGGGCTCAACGATGAGGATTTTGAATGATTTTTTTTTGCTACATTTTTACTGGCTAGAAAAAAAATACAAAGATCGCTGTATTCTTTTTCTTTTTTTAAGTTGGCATGAAACGGTAGTTCTTCTTTTCTTCCCTATTGTGACGCATATTCAAGTGAAACATTTTCTCGAATGACAGACTTTTTTTTTCATCAGGTATTGATCGGATCGTTGTTTGCTAATTGCTATGATCTCATTTGAGTTACAGGTTGCTGGAAGAGAGGAATTATTGTTAGGATGTTGATTATTTTTAGCATTTTTTT